TATTTGCTAGAGAATGTGGAAGATGGTTGGAAGAATTGTAGTTTTGATTGAAATGTTACTAGCCTAAGTACTCCTGTCCGTACCGACTAGTAAACATTAACAATTTCGTCATTTCCGTTGTGTCTTCTCTTGACACTGTTTTGGCCATAACTCAGTTACCTTTTGTCGTATAATTATGGGGAAGGTGTTGACGTCTTCGTCTTACCTTCCCCTATCCATTGATGTGCCTTTGCGGACCCTCTTGTGTGGGGAAGTGCTTGGAAACACTTCCCCTGTCCGATGGTTGCGGTTTTTCTTGTATACTGCCCTGTGATTGGTGGGTGGTATTTGTTGTATACTGCCCTGTGATTGGTGGGTGGTATTTGTTGGCTGTTACGAGCCTTTTATATGGTGCCATAGTATGTACCGTTACAACATTTATATCGTCTATATAATATTATAATAAGTTGGTATTAAAAACGTTTGCATGACTGCAGTTTGGGTATACAGTCGACAGTTGTAATAAACAATAGTCCTTAACCAACAACACCCATATCAGTCAAAGAATTTAAAACTTTGGCTAAGATATATAAAAGATAATTTATGTCTGTAGCGATTATAAAAATGTATTAAATAACATACCTTTTCTTTTATCTGAGAGTAGTGATTGGCCATAGTCCTGTTCTAGCTGTAAATAAAATATGTAAAACACAATAAGTATTTAATTTGTGATTTTTGAAATAATGTATTAAAATTTGACGAAGCTATGAAATAAAAAAAAAGATTTTCTCCATAATCATTATGACATAATTTCAAAGAACAAAAAAATGCTAAACTACAAATAGCAAACCGTGAGTTTAAATCACTTTGTTACTCATTATTCATATACCTACCAAAAGATAACAACATATTATGTTTATCTTTCATTGTGTGAAACTTATTGATAATTGATAGTGATTAATACCTTGTTTTTCTCATGTCTTACTATCAATGATTATATACAGTAACTATTTAAATTCAATAAGGTAACATCTAAAGCATTTAAAATTTTATCTTCCAATTGGAGGGTATTATTGACATTCTGAATAATAAAATAAATTATGATATCGTTGTCAGGTATTAATTTTATAGTTGGTTAGTAAAATTAATGTTTTTTAATAAAATTGAAATAAGTTTCAAACATAAACAACAGATGTAAATAAACAATTGATAAAACTCTAATTAAATAATGCTAAATATTATATTTTGAAAGTTTTGATTTAATGTAAATTATTTTTAATTATTATTATATTAGTTTTTTGAAGTTTTAAGTATTTAGGCAGATATTAATAGATTAGAGAACTATAATGACTAATAATTGCTTTATTTTTTGTTTAAAAAAAATTAAAATTATAAATAGTTGTGATTTAGATAAGACGGTTTAATTGATGAATGATGAGTATTAAATTTAAAATAATTTTACAAAACTCACCTTGTTTATATTTTCTTTGTTTAATTTACGATTTAATCGTACTTCAAATGTTAAAAATCTATCCTCACTAGCAGCTAACATTTCAGGATTATAATCTGCAAACACGAGTTACCACACAATTAATGGAAAAAAAAAATGTTATATTGTATACGATACACGTCATATTGGATGTTACAGAATATTATTTGTCTAATATTTTTTTTTAGCGTAGGCATCAAATATATTTTAAAGATATAAATTATAACCTCACTAAATTACTTACGAATTTGCTTTGCGACAATGTAATTTATAAGTGGTAATTTATCTACAGAAATACATTTAATACATCAGGTGTTTATTACTCTCTCATATTATATGGAGATTTATGTATCTCACAGTTATTATATTAACATGTATTAAATACAAATATGTAATAATTAGGTATGTGAATTTGTAGGAAAGTATTTTTTTTTTTAACTGATTATGAATTTGAATTATGTAAAAGAAGTTCTATTTATGAAGCTTTTATTTTGAATTATTCGAGGTTTTTAAATTTTTAGGTCATATTTTTATTTTAGTTAATTTTTTCATATTTTTAATCAAATTCTGCATACTAACATTTTTGAGAATATATTTTTATTTTACACAGGTTGTACGAACGTCAAATTTATATTTTACATAAGCTGTATGGGGGTCAAATATAATGATTCAATAAAATAAGGCAATATTTCTAGTTATTTGTGGCATATCAGTATATCAGTCACGAATTTCCAAATCGATTGATCAATAATTTTAGTAGATTATTGTCATTCAGTACCTATTTGACGTTCGCGAGGATATTAAAATTTTTGTCATTTGAAGTGCTTATTTTATTGCATTTTTGAAATTTTAAAAGAATTTTTTAAGGATTTTCATTGTTTTGAATTCACAGACCTGGTAATAATTATAAAATCGATTCACCTATTATATATGATCAGGTATACAGTAAATATAACAATAATTGATTTGATAAAACTTAATTTTGATAGACACTATAAATAAGCATACTTACATTTAAACCCAACAAGACTTAAAGTGGCTGTTATTATGTTTCCAAAATTAAATATATTAAATTAGTAAACATAAAATTAAATTAAAAATTTTTTCATGATAATTATAGAATATGCAGGTAACCATTTTGCTGTAGGTACATTAAATTCTAAATGTGATTCATCAGTTATCAGCAGGGATCGGGACTTAATGCGCTTAAATATTGTAATGGGCTACGAGATATGATATGTATAAGTATATTAATGTAATATTGCTAGAAGTATTAGCAATAGTAATTTAGATATATATATATATATATGGCCGAATAATTATAATATATAAGAGATAGTAGATTCATATTTCTATGAATCCTGTTTTTAAAAATATCATAATTAATATATCAAAATAGAGGTCGTTTAAATATATTATGGCATTTATACAAATTGCCAATTAAGAACACAAGACATCCTGGAGATTGTTGTTTTCAAGTGTGAAAGCACTTCTTTGTATATAAGGGAGTCCAGAGACCAACAAGGGCAGATGTACCAGATCCACGAAGACCTGAGCAACTTCACGACACTCAGCCACTTTTTGTATCAGTTACATGAACTTTATTTATACGTAATAAAACATTATTGTTCTTATGAGTTGTACATTTCATTTAAATAACACCCTGGATCTGGATCTGATATTGGCACACAACAATATGTATAATAAAATATCAATATTGAATTTGACACATTTATAAGAATCAAAAAAAAAAACAAACATGTACTGAATCAGATTTTTTCTATCTATTACTCAAACAAATATGTAAATGTATTGAGTCCGAATCTCTGGTTGTCACTGTATCAGTATATGTCCAATTTGAAATAAATGATAAAGCATTTCATGAAAAAAGATAATTTGCCACTTTATAATTTATAATATACTTAACTGTTTTTATTTATAACTGTATTTATTACCTGACACTAAAAGGTGGTGACAACAAAAAAATTGTTATCAAGTAAATCCATTCATCACTTCACTTAGTTTTTATGAAAAATTTAAATTAATTCATATACACCGTTCCAAATCATATAAAGGCACACTGCCATAACGCATTCAAATGAACTGCAGAGCAACGCCTGGACCCCCCCCCACAATGGCAGAGTCTAATTGCTTTGCTTTTTGTCGCTTTTAGTCGGCTATAGTCGTCGCCGTCGACGACGTCGTAATAGACAGAGAATTGCAATTGCCTAAATGGTCGGCGGCAACGCCCAATGTAGCTCGAGTTTCGATCAGTTTTCGTTTTTCCCCGCCAGGTGCGTAATAATCGTTATAATTACTAATAACGAGTAGCTCCATAAAAAACTGTTTTAAAAACAATTTAAGTTATTATACATTCCTAATATTATGTTAGACACAAACCGAAACATTTTTATGAATTTATAACTTCAAAATAATTTGTACTTTTTGAAATTTTGACGAATTCTATAGATAATTTCAATTTAAACGTTTAAGAAATAATAATAAAAATATAAATATTTAATCTTATATTTAAACGAAATTAACAATGTATTGCTCCCCTTGGAATCTTAAAACAATACTATACAAATATATTATAAAATGTATGATGAAACATATACTGACATAAATAAATATCTTACCAGCGCATACTAAAAAATTAAATAAAATAAATAAGTTTAACTTAATAAATATGAATACTTAAATTTTAATATAAGATAAAGCTTGAAATATTATAAAAGTAAGTTAAGTAGGTACATAATATAATAAATCCATTTTATCATAGTTATTTCATATCTACAATACAATTGTAATTTACTGATTTAAAATCCATTACTTTTGCATTCTAAAAACAAAAATAAAATATGCATTAAGTTTATGATTTGATATTTAAAATATGTTTAGTATTACGTATATTATAAATTATAATATAAAACACAATGGTTGATCCTGGGATTTATCATTTATATATTTTGCATATTTTAAATCGGATGAATTGGTAAAGTCTATGTACTTTTTACGTATTATTATTTTTTGTTTAAATTGCATACGACTTAATATTCTGCGTTTTATTTTATGAACACACATATAAGTGCGTTGATATGTATACGAGTATGAACGTTATATTATGTGTAAACATGAATTGTACTGTGTAATTTTACAGTATCTTTGTATGTAAATCAAATTATATTTGAATGTGTTTGTGAAGTGCATACACACTCGTCTTTGGTTATGCAGGCACCCTTAGGAACACAGAGTTAAAAAGTTCTTATGTAATTTATATTTCTAAATAAATAAGTATGTTTAAATAATATGTATTACTATACATTACTTTATAAATATAATTTATTTATTTATTAAAAATTTATCGGTATGTGAGCTTTGAATACAAATATTAGAATATATTAGTAATCGTTGCGTGAATAATAATAGTTATAATAACAAAACAATAATACAATTTATGATGACAGTAAAAAACAAATGTAATAAATAAAACAACAGAAATTATGTTTAAACAAAAA